TTTTTTTTTTTTTTTTTTTTTTCCCTCCCTCTTCAGGACCTCCCGGACTTGATGTCCGGCCAGACATCCAGAGGACATGGACAGTCTGGACTGGGATCGGGATGTGCAGATCGTAACCAAGTTTGTCATAAAAACTTGTCGCTTGGTCATTGTATCGCTAGACACACCAATCCACAACAAAAGCCGAGAACGTTACCAGGCGTTGTACCGTCTTCACCCGAATAGAACGCTCATCGCTCGGTCATTGTAGCTGTATTTGGTGCAATTTCCAGATTAGATACCGCGATAATGACCGGGCATTGTCTTCGGGTGAAGACGGCAGTGTCCCCAGGCAAAGCCGGCAGAACAACCTGTGGAAGGCACTGACAATGACTTGACGAGTCTGAAGGAGAACAGTACTTGAAACGGCGGCAGAGGACAAGAGGGTAATCTGAAGGATAAACAGAGGCCACACAACAATGGGAGAAGGTTTTCACACGGATGATGATTCAAAGATGTGACGGAACGTAAAGAGAGCCGAATACCAGAAATGACAGGGAGGATGACAGATGGGAAAGCATCGGCAGGCAGACTGAAGGTATACTGAGGCAGGAAAAAAGGCACACCATAAACTCCACGATTCAGGAAAGAAGGATCGCTGACAGGAAAGGAAGAAGGGATGCGTCACAGAAAACAGCGCAGACAAGAGCCATGGTGATTGAACACGAAAAATGACATCTGGTCCCCAATCGGGCTAGCTCAGTTGGTTTGAGCACGGAAGTGGTTTGCAGGAGGTCGTGGGTTCGATTCCCCACGTCGTCCGTTCTCTCCCCACGGCCTCCTGTGATACGTTTCGGGTTCTCTAGCGGAGATAATTGGCTTGGACCTCCTGGCTGGCTGGGAAGCGACCATTTGCCCCTTCCAGCTTGCGCCTGGTGTTCGAAGCTTGGGTGCTGCTCCCCGCACAGAGCAGATGTGGCTTCTTAACTTGGGAGAGATTTGTGGCTTCTTAACTTAGGAGAGATTTCCTGCCTTGGGCACCAAAAAAAGCTTGTAGTGGATTGCTAAGCTGTGTGTAGGTAGGTAGGTAGGTAGTGGGACATATATCAAGAGAAGAATATAGGTTAGTTTTTAATACTTTTTATAAAAAACAATAATAATAATAATAATAAAATGACATCTGGGAGCAGAGGGATGGGACTCATGGGAGTGCTAGGAACAGTGCACCGTGGGACACTGCACAGGGTGTGGTCAGATTTGGCCCATTTGGGGTTTACGGCACATAGTTGGGGTTTAAGGACTGTAAAGGTTGGAGAATTGACCAGAAAGGCAGTGATAACAGTTGCTATTGAAGCCCCAATAAAGCCTTCCCAAGTCTTCTTTGGAGAAATCTTGATGAGAGGGGTCCGTCCAAAGAAGAATCCGAAGAAGTACGCCATGATGTCATTCACAATGATCAACGTGCAGGGCAGAAGAAACCTTCAGTCATCAAGGCACACAGGAAAACACAAAGGAAAGCACACAGATCATAGGTAACAGAGCATTGCATAAACAACTCCAACAGGGAGGAAACAAAGCTATGTTCGTTGGGGTGTCCTGTATAAGCTTTGGGAGTAGTGGTAGGTAGGTAGTGAAGGTGAATTGAAAGAATTTGAAAGATTTGAGAGAAGAATATAGCGTAGTTTTTTTTTTTTGAAAAAAAAAAAAAAAAAAAAAAAAAAAAAAAAAAAAAAAAAAAAAAAAACACTCCAACAGCAAAAGCGTAGCTAAATCAACTTTTCCTCTACCTAAGTTCAGTGTGGAAACATCATCAAAACACTTGAAGCACAAGAAGGCTTCATTCCTTCATTCCTGAAACAACCACAAGCAGGGTACAATCCTAAAACAACAACAGCACATAGCACATATTTGCATTAAACCTAGGATACCTTACGCCTGGAGACCTGCTCCGCTTTCCCAAAAGGGGTTGCCCCAGGCAAGGTCCCGGGGTGTCCCTAGTGCCAAATGGAACCGGGAACTTGTTCACCCGGTAGGGCCCCTGGCAGCTCCCACCAGGCCGAGAACACTCAGGACATCACTGCAGTCAGTAATTAACACGGTACGCCACTGCTGTCAGCAGTAATTAACACGGTCGGCCCGGTGATGCAGACCAGACACCGCAACGGAGAATGAGAGTTTTGGACCCCTTCCGTTCACTTCTGCACCACTTCACCACATAGGACTTTTTTATACCGCCCTTGTTATCACCATTGCAGACAAAGAAGGATGAGGGCACTCCAAATGGGGCAAGATTCAGCGGACTGATCCCACCTATCCGTGTTTATGCAAAGACAATGCAACACGCTTTGGGGAGAAGGGGGGACAGCCTCAAAAGTCCCGAAGGAGAGCCCGGTTCACAATGAAGGCAGACTGGCAACTGTGGATGAAGGGCATGACACATGTCGGAGAAGAGCTTGGCCTGATCACCAACAAGACATGCAGTTAAGAGGCCGAGACTCTCGTAGTAGAGAATGACGAGACATCCTCCTCATCAAGCAGGAGGCACCAGCTGACAACTGGCTCAGCTCATCCACTCCCAGCGATAGCAGCAGCAAGTGATGTTAGGCAGATGGATAGAGTGTGAGAAATGGGGAGAGGGAGAGAGAAAGATAAAGCAGATCAGAGAGAGAGAGAGAGAGAGAGAGAGAGAGAGAGAGAGAGAGAGAGAGAGAGAGAGAGAGAGAGAGAGAGATA